TATATAATATATACTGTTAAAAATTAAGATACAAATATTTGGACACTTTCTGTTTGTCAAACTAAGACACATTTGAGAACTTGAGAGGAACTAACTTTAAAATACACCTTGACACCAGTTGTTTAAAGTCATTACTAATTTGGCTAGGAAAAGTTAAGATAGTCCTGACAATTGAAATGTTTCTAATGAGTTGTTTATGTTCATCATTAGCATTGTTTTCAGAGCTATCAGAGAAACAATTTATTAAAAAACTGCTGTCCCTCTTTATCAGGACACCTCTCCACGCAGCTGCATTTGCTGGCCACATAGACTGTGTTCAGCTGCTCCTGGCCCATAGTGCATCTGTGGATGAGGTTGACCAATCAGGGCGCAGTACCCTGATAATGGCAGCGGAGAAAGGAAGAGTCGAAGTTTTAGGTTTGTATTCCCCATTTTTTTTATTTGAATTATGCCCGTTCATTTGTATGAAAGTATGAAAATGGGCTCAACTGAATGCACTTATGCAAAATGTGGCGTGTGTTTTAAACAGAAGCTCTACTTACTAGTGCCAATGTGAACCTCAATCTGACTGACCAGAAGGGCAATACAGCTCTCCATCTAGCCTGCAGTAACGTAAGTATAGCCCATTGCATGCCATGGCCATTAGTCTCTATAATTTCAGTTTCAGCAGTGATCTTTCATAATCATTTTTATAATTTGTTATAAGCAAAATATGTAATTTTGTCAAAATGCCACTAACTGGCGGCAATAGCCTTGTGGGTAGTGCGCCGACATATAGCGCTGTTGCGCTTTAGGCATCCCGAGTTTAAGTCCCGGCTTAAGTTTCCTGATCCCCCAGAAATTATATATTCACACCAGTGACACATAATTCACTAAATCAAAGGTTTTCATTATATCTACTCACTCAAAAAATCATATTTCATTGTTTTTTTATTATAATAATTTGGCCTTTTCAAAAACAGAAAAATGTTAACATTTCCACTTGTTAAGTAATGCAGACACCTATGTGTGACTGTAGTTATGGGGTTTTAATACTTCATATAATTATCAAGCAATAAAATTGTGCCAGATATAAAAACCCACATTGCAAACAGTATTTTTGAAAATATATTACTTGAGGTCTCCTAAAGATGATTTTTCCTGTTCTTTCTGCTTGCTCTCTATCCAGGGAATGGAGGAATGTGCATTGCTCATTCTTGGAAAACTTCCAGACTCTGCCCTCGTCGCTACAAACGCTGCACTGCAAACGTGAGTTCCCCTCCACATTACAGTATAGTACATAATATATTTACATTTAGGCATTTGGCAGATGCTTTTATCCAAAGCAACATGCATTGCATTGCATTTAAGGAATACTTTTTATCAGTTCATGCATTCCCTGGGATTCAAACCTATGACCTATTTAAGAAGCAATTGATGCTCACTTGTTTCTCGTTCACTTCCTCAGACCTCTGCATTTGGCTGCTCGCAGCGGGATGAAGCAGACAGTGCAAGAGCTGCTCTCTCGTGGGGCCAGTGTTCAAGTACTAGATGAGAATGGTGCGTCTTCCTGAAACTAAAATCTTTGCTTATTTGGTTTACGCATAGATTGTCAGTGTATGTGCATCTCTCTATCTATCTTGCAAAAGCAGTGGCCGTGTTTCATAGCTTTGACGATGTCATGCGTGTCCCCTTTTGCCCCTGACCATGTGTTTGGCTGCCTATCTAGCGGGGCACTAATTGAATGCCGCTTCCGTCCATCGCCTCTCCACCATTGTCCCTTTGTTGCTCCATCCCTCCTTTTACCTCTTTCTGCTTTCCTGTCCCCTTTCCTGTCTCTCGCTCTTTGGCTGTCTTTCCCCGCAGGTCTCACCCCTGCTCTGGCTTGCGCTCCCAGCAGGGAAGTGGCTGACTGCCTGGCTCTTATTCTGGCTACCATGATGCCTTTCTGCTCCCCTTGCAGCTCTGGAGCTCCTTCGCCAGGCGCCCTGCTGAAATCTCTGCCCCGCCAGGCCAAGAGCACCCAAGGCCCCCGCAGTCCAAGGGACCCCTCTGGCCCCTCCAGTGAGGGCACGACCACCGAAAACGACTCGGACTCAGAGACATTTTGACCCCGACTCCTTCTAGATGCACCGGTCATAGTTTTCAAAGCACATATTGTCATGAACCTTACAGTTGTACAGATTTTTGATTATGGAGCACAGCCTCTATAACAAGAGAATATGACATATAGCACACATGGTACGCTTTTGTTCTGCCACACTTGTTTGCACAGGAGATTTTTTCGAAAGCCGTTTTAATCAGTTTAACACAGGTTGATTGATGATGGATTGCCAAATGTTGGCTGACTTGTCACACTTGAAGGATGATGATGTAAAGTGCAAAGTGGTGTGTCTTAATCTGTGGACTTTTGAAAGCACAAACTCATTTCACCCTTGTTGGGACCAATCAGGAAACAAGAAATCAAATTTTTGGAATAACAGGGGAATTGGCGTCACTGTTACCAACCTTACTTAATATTTATTTGTAATTAAAGGCTGGAATACACCACACAACTTTTCCCAGATTTTTGCCCCGATTCACAGTCTTGACGAGTTGATGCAGTTGCGGTCAGAGCCGTATTACAGATTGACAGATCGAAATGACTTGGTGTGTGATTATCAGCCATTTAAAAATCTTTTCAGATTTGAAAAGTTGTGTAGTGTATTTCAGTCTTAAGACTAGTTAGACTGAAAGTCTAAAGTCATGAAATCCAGTGTAATGTGATGAAAAATCCAATGCAAGTTCTCCATTTCTGAATCGTACACCAGTTGTACTTTACACATTATATTTGACATGTTGTGAAAAGAAGACTCTTTAGATTTATATTGCAAAAAGAGCATTTTTAATCCACTTAGATAACAACATTTCTAGGCCTTGATGGTCTAAACTTACGTCTGACGCTTTTGGAGAGTGACACTTTTGCCACTCGGTTCCTTCTCCGACATAAAGACAGTGTTCAGATAATACTTCTATTCAGGTTGAATTTTAGATTCTAGTGAGAGGGCATAGCATGTTATGTGAACCATGATGTTCTCAAGCCTGTACCGATATTTATTAACATTTAGATAACAATGGTACTACAGCGGTATGCACTTATGTATAGGAGTAAATGGGTGTTTAAAGGATTATAATTCTGGCATTGTTTACTCATGTCATTGTTTTTGTGGAACACAAGAAGAATCTTAATGTGGCTCTTTCCATACACCAATACTATGTCTGTCAAGCTCTAAAAGTGACAAATAAATACCTCCAAAAGAGCTACATACTGTATTCCAAGTCTTCTGAAATCCTACGAAAGCTTTGTATGAGAAAGAGGCCAAATTTAAAGCTGTAATCCACTGATAATATTTCCCTTCATTGAGCTGTTGGTTCTGGATCATTGTGTTAGTGAAATGAACAGAATTGTGAACAAATCAACCAATTTATCAAAAAGAACCAGTTTAAAA